AAGTTTTCTATAATATTTATAATATAGTAAAACACAATTGATTTTGGATTTTAAAAAGTTATTATGTATTTATGTAATATTTATTAAAAATTTAAAATATTAATTTGGTATTTATTTAGTATTTATTGAAGATTTTAAAAACTCATTAGATATTTAGTTAAGATTTATTGAATATTTTAACAATTTTTATAATATAGTAAGATCATAAAATGATTAAAATTTTTACTTGGTTGTATTTGTTCTTTATTATTAAAAATGTAATATTGAAAATGCATATGAAAGTATTATTATTGAAAATAAAATTGAGTTTGAATTTTAAAAGGTCTATTGAGTATTTATTTAGTATTTATTGAAGATTTCAAAATGCTCATGGGCATTTAATTAGTATTCATTGAAAATTTTAAAAAGTTTATTAGATATTTTTTTAGTATTTATTGAAAATTTTTTGAAGGGTTATTAAATAATTTTTTAGAATTTATTGAAAATTTACCAAGAATTTGTTAAAGATTTTAAATAAAAAATTAAGATATTTATTTGAGATTTATTAAATAATTTAAATTATATAATTCAAATTACATAATATATATTTTTAATTATATATCTAAGTTAGTGCCACTTTCTTCCAAGTTTTCTTTACCAAGTCATGCTATCACAGCAGGAGGAGGTGATTGAAAAAAGTTGTCAGTTGATCTCAGACTTTCTCTCTCTCTCTAGAAGTCTCCTCCTTTTGTCGACATCTTCTCCAAGCTTGGTTTTTGTGTTTTTTGGTGCTCGGAAGCCCTTAGCTTCTCAAGCTTTTGGGTGTTGGGAAGCCCTCCAACTTTTCATGCATGATGGAGCCGACTTGTCGTGCTTTGGTGTCCAATGAACACCTTGAGTGGTCTGTCAATTTTCTTTTGGACCTCTTCGATGGTCCTTTCCGTTTCTTTCTTTATTGTTTTTTTTTTTTTTTTTCTCTGTTTGTTTCCTCTGATCTGATGATTAACAAACTAACTATGCAAAAATTAAGAGTGGTGGTTGATTTTCTTGCTTTGGCATCTTGGAGACCGAGCTCACTTCAAGAGTAGATTGAAGGATATCTAGCTTTTGGAATAGTCGACCAAAGAAATTTGTAAATATCAAGTTCCTTGGAAGTTATTCGTGTGATTTTCACTGTCTTTTTTTATATTTGTTATTTGGTAAACTTGATCTACTTTGATTACTATTTCTAGTTAGATTTTCTTTGATCTATCATGTGTTCTTATCATTGAGATAAAAATCCTTCATGTAGATACTGCATGGCTGTGTTTTAATTAAATAAGTTTTGTTGAGTTCAAAAAAAGCAAGAGGAGGTGATTGTTTTATTACAATTATTACTATTTATTTTGAATTATACAAAAAAAGGTAACTTTCTCACATCTATTATTCACCTTACTTTCATCAACGAGGAGTTGGATCAAATAGTAAGCGGCTTGTTCCAGCTTAAGTAAGGTTTCGAGTTTGAGACTTTGTGTACGCAGCAGCCCTCACTGGAAGACTTATTCACCATTTCCAGGTGCGCAACGCAGGTCGAGTCTGAATTAGTCGGGGCAAAGCCACAGATATCAGGCGGAAAACCAAAAAAAAAAAAAAAAATTATTCACCTTACTTTCATGTCTACTTAACCTAAATTCCTTACTCAATTTTAGGGGGTGTTTCGTTGGGTGGAAAAAATTTTCCCTTAACACCTTTAAACTTTTCTTCTTATAAAATTATTTATATATTTTTATATATTAATACTATAACAAAATAAAAGTAAAAATAACATTTTAACATTTATTTTCTTTCTAACACAATACTCAATTCATGAAGTTTTTTTCTTATCCTTTTTTACAA